ATGACGGTCGCTTCGGGGTTCGCGGGGGGGTTCGGATGATATTCGGGCAGAAGGGGCTTCCTCAGGGGTCTCGGAGGGGAGGGTCTACCCTCCAGTGCTATTTTGTCTTCCCCTCCCGACACCGGCGGATGGATCTCACTCGTGGGCATAGCAGAAGGCTCAGTGTCAGTGCCTCCCTTCCTGGTCTTCCGGGGGCCTCCGCATCAGATGGGTGCAGCGGATCTCGAGCCTTCCGCTTGCCTCACTTTCCCTGGACTAGGGTCCAGCCCTCCATAGCATCGTCTGGGGGCTGGTTAGCAGGGGTTGTGTTGGGGGGCAGAGGCGATGGTTCAGGGGCTCGGGGGGAGTAACGGTGAGGCAGCATGAGGGGGGGGCCGTTCTCCTTGGGGCGGGCCCTCTCCTATGCCCGGTAATATCTTTGCTGCACTCTCCTCCATAGGCTCTGCTGGATTGTTAACAGCAAGGGCGGGGCTCCCTCACTCGTCTGGGCGTCGTAAGGGAGGTGTCTGTTGGGCCTGGGCAGGAGCAGCGGTGGATCGAGCAGGAGGAGAGGTGGTTTCAGATGTCGGGCGGCCAGGGGCGTTGGCAACGACGGAGCCGATGTCCTGCCGGGTCTCGGTTGCCCCTCCCCGCCGGGCCAAGGGGCAGTCTCTTCGGACATGCCCCGCTGATCGGCAGAGGTAGCACCGGGCCTCTCCTGTGGAATAGTAGACCCGATAGCGGGCTCCCTGGTAGGGGACTAGGAAGGACCACTCAAGCGCCTCTCCATCACGCGCTGCCGGCGGAACGAGAAGACGTGACGGAAGGTGGGGTCCTTGCAGCCCAACGGGAGAGGGCTGATGACAGAAACGGGTTTCCCCAGGGTGGAAAGAGCAGGTAACAGGGCGGCATTGGGTAGAAGAGGTGGGACGGAGGTCAGGACTAGGCGAACGCCCAGGTCTTCTCGCGGCTCCAGGGGGACAAACACCACCCCCACCGCCAGACCCTTCTCCACCGCCTCCTGAGCGGCAGCCTCCGATGCTAAGAAAAAGACGACCTTCCCGTACATTTTGGAGGCCGCCACAATAGCCGTAGGTCCTACCACCCTCGCCAATGCGTGCACGTATGTCTCCACGTGGGGTGAAGCGGGCACCAGGAGGCAATGGAAGCTGTGCTTCCTGGTCATGGTGGGAAAGGGGCCCCGGCCACTATTGATGGTAGCGGAGGCGGTGGGTGGGTGAGATGACGAGGCGGCAGGCAGGGGCAGGGCTGCCACCGCCCGGGAATATGCCCTGGGGGCCGGGGGAGGGACGCTTGCAGAGCTGGTGGAGGGAACAGCGGGGAGGGATGCCATGGTCGATGACGAGGCCACAGCGGTGGGGGCAGCCTCTGCCATGGAGGACTTGGTGGTTGTGGCGGGGCCCTTCCCCTTCTTCGCACCCTGGCCTTTCCGGCTAACCGGGGGGGTTTTCCTAGAATCTGGGGGGGCGGTGGGCGTAGCAGCGGCAATAGTCGCCCCAGTGCCTCCGGCTGCCGATGCCCCAGTGGGGGCGGTGGCAGGTATTTTGGCAGCAGTGGTGGGGGGGGGGGGCTTGGGGGTTGGGCAGGGGGGTAGGTGGGGAAGGGGCAACTGAGGTTGTTAGAGGGGCCTCCCCAACCTGTCCCTCAAATTTTACTAAAAATACCCTGGGGTGGGGGGGACTAACAGTGGGAGTGCTGCGGGGGAGCGATTGGGGGCTGCTGCTTTGGTGGCTCCAGGGCCAGCCACCGGCCAGCTTTTCTGGGGGCCCCAGGGCTGGCCGATGGCCAGCTGTTCCAGGGGACTGCACGTCAGCCCGCTGCTGTGGGGGACCTGGGACCGGTCACTGCTCCGGTGGCCCTGGGGACTGGCTGTGACAGCTGCTCCAGCCCTGCTGACCCAATCCCCCCCACCACCACTTCAGTCTCGAGTCTGCTGCTCCAGCAGGCCCCGGGGATGACAGCTGCTTCAGCTGCGCCACTGCAGAAGTCACAGGGGTCTGGGAAAGTCACAGGATCCGTGGCCTCTGTAACAGAATCATACCCTTAATTGTATATAATCCGTTCTGTTGACTGTTTGATGATGTGCTGGTTGAGTATCCAATGGCGAAGTCTTCTGAAGGCCTGGGTTGCCTTTTGTATTCTATCTGATGTTTCTTGTAGTTAAGTGCTGAAGGGTGGAATGTTGTTGCTCCGACACTGTCAAGGCTGCCAAGCTGTTTCAGCTGCTCAGTGCTTCTGTCCTTGGAGCCCCGATGTTATCAGCACTGGCAGAGAGTGCAGCCTGCTAATTCAACAGACCTCAGTGTTACTCAGAGAGAAGGACCACAGGCATGGTTGGATGACAAAGGCACTTGGCCGGGTTTATTGCCTTCAAGGCACAGCCCTAACAACTTGCACAAGTACATTAAGATATGAGTGCCCTGTGGCAAGGAGCAGCTGAGTTAGCAGTGGGAGTCTTCACTGTCCCCGTGGCCACATAAAGGATTAAGGTGAGGTACCCGGACATTTATAGACTGAGACAAACAACTGGGATACACAACTTACGTACCACATTTTTGTTACCTCCCCTTGTACCTTATTCCTGATATCTCAGACAAAACATCCCTTTTCATTATTCTGTCAAAACATCTTATCTTATGCTAGGTGTATTTGTAGTGGCCTTCTGGAATGTATTTTGTAAATATCTAGGGCCTAGCACTTCTTAGGAGGGCCTATGTTTTGGCAATGCTAGCAGCAACTTTGCGAAGTTCATGTACTGGAAAGTGAACTCGTAAGCATCGCTTTACTACATGGCCTGACGCTGGTTCACAGCCTCTGGCTCAGGCCTCAGATCTTGCACCAGGCTCGCTCTGACTATTACAGTTGCCTCTGAGAACCCATCAGGGATAAGCTGTAGGTCATGGTTAACTCTCATTAAATAGAGCACATTCATCTGGAAAAAGAGCTACATGTATGAGTTTCTCAAGAACTTTTGTTTTTGCAGTAAGCCTTTGGAGATTGAAAAGTTTTCCATTCAATCTGTACCTGCGGTAGATGCCCTTTTGAAGGTTGTCAGTTGCGTAATTCAGAATGGTTGCAAATGAGAGACCAAAAAGGGCTGGTGCCAGCATTCAGTCTTGTTTCACCCCATTAGATATGGGAAATGGTTTAGAGAAGCCACCATCAGAGTGTACTTGACCAGTCATGTCTTCATGGAATTGACATGTATTAATGAATTTGGGGGGGCAGCCAAACTTTTCTAGAATTTTCCAGAGGCCATTTCTGATCACGGTTTTTAAAGATCAGTGATGACAGCATACAGTTCCATGATTTGCTGAATGTATTTTTCTGTAATCTGTCTCACAAAAGTAACTCATGTCTGTGGTGCTCCGACCTGATCTAAATTCACATTGGGTCTCTGGTAGAAACTTCTCCGATACTATCTTGACAAGCCAATTGAGCAAAATGTGGACTAGGATTTTGCCACCTACCAGTAGCATGGAGATACCCTGACAATTACCACAGTCAGATTTGTTCCCTTCAGTTTTGCATCGTGTAACTATGACACCTTGGAAGTCCTGAGGAATTTCCTCAGCTTCCCAGATAACCTTAATGATTTTGTGTAGAAACACATGAGTGTGTGGTGGTTCCCAGCTGCCATTTGAAGGCTTTGGCTTGTTCCCCTGGCTGTCTGTGTGGTACATAAAATTACATTTCTATATTTAATACTGATTATGGGGAATGGTCCTGAAATTGGTGCTGGCCCACAGATCATTCCTGGAAGGCCTTAGTCAGCACCTCCCAATATTCCTCTACTTGCTGATGGGCTCCTTTCTGGCTCCCCTCCCTCTCATTCTCCCCAATTCTCTTCCATGAATCCACAGTTGCTCTGTCTGTGTCGTTCTCCATAGTGTCTTGACTCCTTGTGCATCTGTGATTGTCTAGTATGTTTTGGGCCTTGATAATGAGTGCGCAGTGGGGTCTCCGGGTGTGGAGCATCTTGTCAGGACTAACGCCTGGCCAGGAGGTAAGGGTGTGAACTTGCACCTTGTGAGTTAGTTCCATGCCTGGAGTGATGAAAGCAGCATGTGTCTGGGACCATGGGAGCCGTGCTAGGGCTTTGATAATTCAAAATAAGCCGCTGTGCCCTTAACTACACCCTGTTCTCTCCTTTTGTTCCATACTCCCACCAGACCCCTGATGTATGACTAACGCCCTCCCTTCTTTTAAATAACACTCTGAGCTTCCAGAGGAGCAAAAAGGAAACCCTTGTAGCTGCCCAGCCTGCCAGATTTGGCTGCACAGGCTTTGGAAAATGTCATCTCTTAGTGCTTCAGTTACCTCATCTGTTAAATGGGGTTATCTCACAGGTGTGCTGGGGGCTAAATTCATTCATGTTTGTGCAGTAAGTCTAGATGGTAAATAGAAAAGCGAAGCAGTGGTTTGATTTTTCCTATAAGCACCAAAGGTCCCTCCAAGTCCCTCCACTCCCTGATAGAAATTCCTCCTGTCGGCCCCTGGATATTTGACAACCGTTTTGATCATTCACTCTCCACAGTGATCCAGCTCCCTACTGCAGTGAACGTCTTACATCTCCTCTGCCCTTGCCGGTCGGTTAGGTACATTCAGCTGCATGACGTGTGTTGGACGGGGTTTAAGATGCCTGCAGACAAAACTCCACAGTAACGTGGGGTTTGAGATATTCCTGGTTGAACTGCCACGCTGTCTCAGATTTAACACGTTACTCTGTGATGCTGTTAGACACACATCTACCTGACATGGAGGGTGCACAGGATGGCAGGGGTTAGGAGGGCAGAGTTAGTGTTGTTGGAGGACCTTAATTCTGCATTTCTATACTTTCTAAAGATGTCTTGTCTTATTGTAACTTTAACACTGACTTAATCTGTGGTTAAAATTGCAATGCTCTATTAAGCTTCATTTCCATTAAGAAGTTGATAAATATTTACAAGCTTGACCTTAGGTTGATAGTTGTTTGTCATGGTTCCTTTTTGTTTTCACAGTTTGTCAGAAATCCACATAGATGAAAAAACAACCAAAAAATTGGAAGTTTTGCAGAAGATAAAACCTGGTTTGTCAATTGTGCATAATGCAGCATCCAGCCATCAGAACCCGGGTACAAAGACAAGGAGGATGGAATGTCTTCTATCTAAGCGTCATACATTCATCTGTAGACTAATGTCTTGGAGTTCAGAAATGATGTGGAATATTTTTGTGATGCACTGTCAGGAGGTTGGACTTGTTCTGCTATTAAGCATTGCTACATATTGGCTTCACTGGTTGATAAAAGGCCATATGGAGGATTAAGAAATCATAGGTGTTAATGAGAGACGACAGGTTAATTCCCCTAAGCCATCAGGGGTCTATGCTGAAACAGAATCTCTACTCTGTACATTGAGGACTCCATTTTTCAGTTCAAGCAACTCTTGCTGAAAGCTTCTTCTTTGCCTAGCTAAACTTAAAATGGCCAGAGAGCTACAAAGCTTATGTGGCAAGTCCCTTGCTTAGAGTCCCAGAGAGAATGGTGAGGCTCCAGCCTGGTTCAGGCCTCTAGGTGCTATTGTAATATAATCATAAAAACAACACAAGAGAACCGGACATTTCTGTAACCTTAAATGCCAGTTCCAGGAGACACGAGCGGAGAGGCTGTTCTCAATTTAGTCCTAGCTGACTGAAAGAAGTTGGTTCAGGTAGTGACAGTGACCACAACACTGCGTGTAACATCTTTAGGGGAGAGATTCTGCCAGAACTATCTGGATGACACTGAAATTTGGAGGGAGTGAGGTTGTTAAAAATGGGGAAGCTCACAGTAAAGACCCTACAACCAAAAGTGAGGGAATTACAATCCTTAGCTTCAGCATGGAGGTTACTCACCTATACCACAGAGCTGCAGAAGGCGTGCACAGCCCTAAACCAGAAAGGAAGCAGGAAGGGTTAAATGGCAAGATTCAAGAGGTTATTCAAACTAAACAAGCCAACTTCCAACTCCAGTGAAGCCAATGGGCAGGAACATAAAATATGGCAGGTGAATGTTATAATTGGCATTTGGAGGGTTTCGAGAGACTTTAAAGAGCAGTTAGCCAAAGAGAAACGGTCCTTCAGTACATGGAAAGCAGGAAGCCTGTGCTGGAATTAGTGAGCCCCTGGACTTTCAGGGAGTAACGGGAATGATTCAAGAGTACAAGGACATTGCAGAGGGATTAAGGCCTTAATCCTAAATGTTTGTAGGATTGGGAAAAAATCATTTATTAGTATCAGTCGTCACTGTGACAGAGATTGCAACCGGATGCAGCATCTTTGGGGACCATATTGTATTAAGGTTGTGAATGGTTTATGTATCACTGTGGGCCAAGGATTGTATGCAACTCGCAGCTGCTCCAGGAACTACAATCAGTGGGGTGTACGGGGGGGTCATTAAGGTGAATCACTCAGGCTGTAAAAACATCCAGAGAGGTCTCAACCCCTGGGGAGGACTGAATCTACTGACACCAACAGGGTTTTTCAGAGACCAACAGACAAGGAAAGGGCTTTTGGCATCAAAAGGCTGAGTCTGAACTGATCCAGCCTTCTTTTTCCTTCTTTTGATCCAGCAAATGGACAGGGCTTTCTGCCCGAGGGGGCACCAACCCTTGCAGAAGGGTTGGAAAGACTTGGGCTTACTAGGACTGAGGGAGGTGAGGGCTGGGAGCCTGAAACTTAAGTGGGTGCCCTCGAGGAAGACCAGGAGGGGGATCAAAGGTGCAGTTGTCTCTGAAACTGTGACATACCTTATACACAGAAATAAAGAGTTACCTAATTCCTCTTCAATTCCTGGGTCTGTTTGTTGCACAAGTACTGATATCATGGAACCATGCCCACTCTTGGTGCTATGCCATACTGGCATCGGGAGTGTAACCAGCACAGTACAATGATTTTCATCCAGGTTTTGCAGAATTAGCAAGTTATTGTTGACCAGTGGCAATCGAACACCAAATTTGAAACTCTTTATTCTTAAAAGTGACAATTGTGACATGTTTCTCTTTTCAGGTCTCTGCTCCTTTTGAAAGACAGAAATGAATCCTTCAGGCACCTGGGCAGGCTGCAGATCTGCACATTTCTGAATCTCAAAGCAGTCACCTCACTGTACAAGTTCATTGTATTATGGCAGTAATATAGCTAGCTCAGATTTCTTTCAGCTGCATCCATATTAGGAAATCTCCCTATTCATGGAGTAGCTTAAAATTCACTTTAGCTGTTGAATTAATTCTAAAGTTCCCACAGAAATATTAATGCAGAATAATAATTAATAAATACTTAATACTTAATAATATGCTCATAACTTGCCACTCCAAGTAGAATTTCCCAAACACTTCAATTTAAACACACTGGATTAGATAGAACAATAAAATAAGATTTTAAATGAGTACGAGTAATGAGACATAAGTCAGAAATGGTTACAAGAAAAATAGAGATAAAATGTTTACTGATGCCTTACTTAAGAAGCTACATTAGATTCAAAGTAGTCTTCTCACCACATGCTTCAGCAGTCTCACTGACCAAACTGCTTAGGTCAGGACCCCTTCTCCCAAGAATCCAACCAATGCTTCCTTTGTCTTGTTGCTTCAGGTGTGGTGAATGTGATGGGCAAGGAGAGGGGGTGGAGGTGTCTTGGGGTGTTTATTCCTTGTTTTTATAATATCAGTGTCTCTCTTGGAAAATATTTCCAGCTGAGATCCCGGAGACAAAAAGTCTGACGAGATCTTACGTTTTGTCCTGCAACTTGGTGAAATGTACTGTAATACTGGCAAACATGTAATAAACATTTAGAAAAATATTTGGTGTACATCTCATGTAAAATTCCTTCTTATTGCAAGGAAAGAGACATCGGTAAGACATATTTAAGAGTCTGCAAATGTACCAGCAACTTCTTCTTTCAAAAAAGAGACTCCCTCCACAAATTTTTGACAACATGAAAATTCAAAGTTAAAATTCCACTTTAAAAAGCATCCAGTAGAAATGATGGGAAAGCACAGGCTGGCCCAGGCAAAGTTGATTCTTTCCCTCTAGGATAACCAGCCTCAATCATCCCTTCTAATCTTAAATTTGAAGAAGAGATTGTACTTTTTACATTTTGTGGGTGAAGAATTGAAAATATTAACCACAGAACATCGTTTTTTATAATCTGGTCCATGTATGTCTCATATTAAGAGTGATGCTTTGTCACGCTGTGACAGGTTGGATCACAGAAACCCCCTTGGGACTGCCAATTGACATGCTGAGACTGCCCCCAAGTCCATTTTCCCTGCCAGCTTGGGACTCCAGAACCTTGCTTTGTTTGAGCCAGACATGCTTGCCCGCTGCAAACTCAGACCCAGGTCTGAACCACGTCCCCTAAAAGCTGCAGGCTTAACTGAAAATGGCTTAAGAAATGTTCCTGTCTCCAACACCCAGCTACCCAGTTCCCAATGGGATCCAAACCCCAAATAAATCTGTTTTACCCTGTAGAAAGCTTATACAGGATAAACTCATAAATTGTTCACCCTCTATAACACTGATAGAGAGATATGCACAGCTGTTTGCCCACTCCCCCCCCCCAGGTATTAATACATACTCTGGGTTAATTGATAAGTAAAAAGTGATTTTATTAAATACAAAAAGTAGGATTTAAGTGGTTCCAAGTAATAACAGACAGAACAAAGTAAATTACCAAACAAATAAAATAAAACACACAAGTCTAAACCTAATACAGTAAGAAAGTGATTACAGACGAAATAAGTTTCTGTATCAAAAGAATCTGTCACCGTGTGTGCTGGGCTTCCAGTCACCTAGAGACGGGTGTGGACTTCATGAACCAATGAGGTGAATTGGGCTGATCTGTATGGGCTGAGGATGGGAGCGTGTTCTGTGTCTCCAGGAGGCGCTGCACACACACAAGAGGGGGCCAAAGTAGCATTAAGCTGCCTTTGCGCCCTTCTGACTCCAGGCTGGTCAATGCCTGAAACAGCCGACAGTGTAACTTAGACAACCAACCCCCTCCTCCCATCTCCTACACCGGAGCTTGCACAGAGCAGCCTCTGACTGTCCGGCACAATGCTAGCAGTGGGGGAATTTCTGCCCTGCCAGCTAAGAAGATGTTACTGCCCTGTATGCTGCTGCAGCAGTGTGCAGGGACTGTAGAAGGGGGGAGAATTCTCCCTCCCCCGTGTGTGTGATTTTCAGGGCAGGGATAGTGTCTCCCCAAGCGTTTGTACAGCGGTTAGTAGAGCTGGTCTGGAATTTCCTACTGATACATTTTTTTAGATAGAAAATTACAGTTTCTTCAGTATTGAAATTTTCTATGGAAAAATGTTGAGTTTTGCGAAGCTCTTTTGACTTTTTTTTTTAATAGGAAAATCAAATTAAAACATTTCATTTTCAGGGCAGGTCGACATAAATCATTCTGTCTGTCTGAACTGCTGCAGTGCCCCATGGGAATTGTAGTTTGGGTCCCTCATCCCCCCATTCTCACTTATTGGCTTGGTTCTCCTTCCAGTATACGTCCCCCATGATGGGCCTAGACTGCAGAGCTCAGTCACAGGAAGAGACTGTGGTGCATCATGGGAGACAGTCAGGCCATGGCACCCACCCCAGCGGGGCAAAGGGAGGCAGGAGGATCCCAAGAGATGCAGCAGCAGCTCTGGCTGGCACATTCAGTCATATCAGCCTGAGCTGACACAGAATGTTTTGATGCAGTGATGTTGGTATGTTTCATTTACATAGAAAAAGTAGGACCAAAACCTTTAAACATTCCTAAATCAAGTTTTTCTTCTGAACATTTTGTTTGGGAAAAGTTTCAATATTTCAACCTCTTCAATTTAGGATCTAAAAAAATGTCAAAATAGTGGAATTTCCCAAAAGATGGAAATGCTGTTTTTTGATAAGCTGCAGGGGCTGGCATTACTTGATCACAGAGTAAGAGGTTTTTTTTAAAAAAATGTAGTCGAGCACCTGTGGAAAACCCAGCGGGCAATTCCCTGGTTGACAAGTAGACAGCAGCACAACTAGTAGAAATTCTTTTGTCAAAAGGTCATGTGACAGAAAAATTGAGTTTAGAAATATCTGCTTTCCTCACAAATTCTCAGTCTTTCTTTAGAAAACAGAACACTCAAAACCTTTTATCTGAAAACCAAAACATTTTTTGTTTTGGGTTCCCCCGCCCCGCAACTAAAAGGTGAATATTTTGGGGGTAAGGGAATGGAGGGAGGGAAACATTTTCTAACCTGCTCTAGTTGAAATGTTCTCAGCCAATATGTCAGATTTGTCAATTTTTGGCTAGTGAAGCCTTTACAAAATAATTAAAGGTTTCAGAGTAACAGCCGTGTTAGTCTGTATTCGCAAAAAGAAAAGGAGTACTTGTGGCACCTTAGAGACTAACCAATTTATTTGAGCATGAGCTTTCGTGAGGTACAGCTCACTTCATCCGATGAAGTGAGCTGTAGCTCACGAAAGCTCATGCTCAAATAAATTGGTTAGTCTCTAAAATAATTAAAAAATACATTTATCTGGATTTCTGAACTATTCACCAAATAATACAAGGGCGCAATTGGGTTATCCTCCTCTGGTCCCCCATTGTGAACTGCACATAGTAGCAATGTTATTTCCCTCCTAACACCAAACCAGTCAATTGTTGCTAAATCTATTAGGAACACATGCACGGCTATCCATCATATCTGATGATGATGTCACAGCATTGCATGTGTACTCATGTGGCTGTATAGCCTGACCCTATGAGGAGCAAGACCACAAACATATGACACACAAACACGCAGGCTCCCAGGGAAGACTTTGCATGATGCTTGGCCCTTTTTTTCAGTCAGTTTTTCTTGTCTGTCTTCCTCAAACTGTTCACAACCGTTATTGACAGAAGCTCTCCATTCATGTCTGTCCTTGGCTGTGTCTTCAAAGTTATCAATATTTAAGCCATAAGGTCAGATTCTGCTCAAGGGTGTCTTTGAAACATTTTCTTTGACTCTCCCTCCGGAGCTTTCTGAGTTTCAGCTCACCATAGGGAACTTTCTTTGGGAGTCTGTTGTTGCCCATTCTGATAACACAACCTATCCATCTAAGCTGAGCTTGGATGATCATTGCCTCAGTGCTGGTGTTTTTTGCTCTTTCAAGGATGTTAGTGTTTGAGACTTTGTCTTGCCAGTTGACTTTCTGAATGGAGTGGAGACAGCATATGTGGAATTTTTAAAGTTGCTTAATGTATCTGTGGTAAGCTGTCCATGTTTCACATCTATATGAAAGGGATACTATCTGTCATAAATATAAAGGGAAGGGTAAACCCCTTTAAAATCCCTCCTGGCCAGAGGAAAAATCCTCTCACCTGTAAAGGCTTAAGAAGCTAAAGGTAACCTCGCTGGCACCTGACCAAAATGACCAATGAGGAGACAATATACTTTCAAAAGCTGGGAGGAGGGAGAAAAACAGAGGGTCTGTGTCTGTCTGTATGATGCTTTTGCCAGGGACAGAACAGGAATAGAGTCTTAGAACTTTTAGTAAGTAATCTAGCTAGGTATGTGTTAGATTATGATTTCTTTAAATGGCTGAGAAAAGAGCTGTGCTGAATAGAATGACTATTCCTGTCTGTGTGTCTTTTTTGTAACTTAAGGTTTTGCCTAGAGGGATTCTCTATGTTTTGAATCTAATTACCCTGTAAGGTATTTACCATCCTGATTTTACAGAGGTGATTCCTTTACTTCTATTAAAAGTCTTCTTGTAAGAAAACTGAATGCTTTTTCATTGTTCTAAGATCCAAGGGTTTGGGTCTGTGGTCACCTATGCAAATTGGTGAGGATTTTGACCAAACCTTCCTCAGGAAGTGGGGTGCAAGGGTTGGGAGGATTTTGGGGGGAAAGACGTGTCCAAACTACGTTTCCCAGTAAACCCAGATAAAGTTTGGTGGTGGCAGTGGAAATCCAAGGGCAAAGGGTAAAATTAATTTGTACCTTGGGGAAGTTTTAACCTAAGCTGGTAAAAGTAAGCATAGGAGGTTTTCATGCAGGTCCCCACATCTGTACCCTAGAGTTCAGAGTGGGGAAGGAACCTTGACACTATCACTGCTGCATTATCCATAATCAGATCCGTTGACTGATGGTGTGCTGGTTGAGTATCCAATGGCAAAGTCTTCTGAGGGCCTGGCTTGCTTTTTGTATTCTATCTGGTGTTTCTTCATCCAGGGAACCATAATTTGAGATGGTGCTACTCAAGCATGTAAAGTGATCAATGCTTGTTAGTTCTGTACCATCCATGATGATGTTTCGCTCAATAGTTGTGCTTGATGGAGCTGATTGAAAGAGAACTTCAGTTTTTTCCAGGATGAAGGTGAGTCTAAACTGTTTAGTTGCTGAAGGGTGGAATGTTGTTGCTTCGACGCTGTCAAGGCTGCTAAGCTGTTACAGCTGCTCAGTGCTTCTCTCCTTTGAGCTCTGATGTTATCAGCACTAGCAGAGAGTGCAGCTTGCTAATTCAGCAGACCTCAATGTTACTCAGAGTCTCTGCTGCCCCCTTAGCCACACAAAGGGTTACGGTGAGGTACCCCAACATTTATAGACTGAGACAAACAACTGGGAGACCCAGCTTACCTACCACCTTACATGTTTCATGACATTGGTTTGTCACCTCCTCTTGTGCCTTATTCAGGGATGGTGTCCCTAGCCTCTGTTTGCCAGAAGCTAGGAATGGGTGACAGGGGATGGATCACTTGATGATTACCTGTTCTGTTAACATAAGAACATAAGAATGGCCATACTGGGTCAGA